CTCCCAGATTTAGATAGTTAATTTATTCTCTGATGCTTTGTCCATATTTGTTGAAGAACATTGCATTTGTAATTATAAGCCAACTCAACTTAATTCTGTGTCATTGTTTTTGTGTTATTAAAATTAATTATCAATGGAGAAATATTTTTAATTTCTTGATTGACTATAGAGTGCATGCAAGAAGCCCAATATTTAATTTTATTATTTCAGAGTGAATATGGAAAAGTACCCATAAGTAAGATTAATAGATGTTGTTGAAGAGCTTTATTTAGCATATAAATCTTAATTTTCTGATGATATTCCAACCAACGCGAACACCAAATAATGAAATAGCTGTAGAATTTTATACATATATATCAAATTTTATATATTAAATTTTATATATAATATATATATACATATATACACGTATATAAATATATACACATACATATACATATATAAAAATCAATAATATATATAAATATATATTATATATATGAATAAATAATATATATATATTATATATATATATAAATAAAATGAACCTCAGTAGCACAAATTTTAAAATCAGAGGGTTATAAATCAGAGAAAGACTAAAAGTTTTCTTGGCTCCTCTGTGATCCCATGATTATATTAATGATGTTTTAAAATGTCTCTTATTGGAGTGCCTGGGTGGCTCATTTGGTTAAGCATCTGCCTCCAGCTCAGGTCTTGATCCCAGGGTTCTGGGATCCAGCCCTGCATGGGGCTCCCTGCTCAGTGAGGAGCCTGCTTCTCCCTTACCCTCTGCCAGTCCCCTGCTTGTGTGCTCCTGGTCTGTCTCTTGTCAAATAAAAAATAAAAATTTTTAAAAAAATAAAATAAATAAAACAAAATGTCTCTTATTAGTCAAACAGTTATGTTATTATTGAAAGTGCATATGCAAAAAATTGATGAGTTAAAACAGGTGAAAAAGTATTGTGAAACGTGTTGGAAAGTATTTGTAAAATAATGTTAACTACTATGCAAGGTCAATAAGATTACTGAATGAGCACACTAAAAACACTACACCCCTCTCTGTATTAAATAATAATAACAGTAATTTTGTTAGTGTTAATAACCTATATTTACCCAGTACATTTTTCACAATTCTCAAAGCTCTTTTACTTATTCTGTTATTTGATATTTGTAGCAACCTTATGAAAATGTAAGTCAGATTTTGCAGTATTGCAGTGAAGGGTACAGAAGGTTGGAAAATGAATGAAGATAGAAACTCAATTGGGGCCATACTACAAAATAAATACAGTTTCGAATTCGAAGCCTGCTTAAAAAGTAGAATTTAAACATGATGAATCTTTTACTAGGCATGGAAGATTTAGTCATTAGTCATTTCTTTTAAATATATTCAATCAAGGGGTAGAACTTCTGAAAATTACCTAGTTTGAATGATGGTTGTAAAAATTCCTCAAAATATTTAGGGATAACTGACTCAGAAAATATAAAAATGCTTAAGGTAGACTTAAAAAAATATTTGGAACCAGTCAGACTGTGATGTTATTATTAAGGAACTAATTTTCTCATACATAATGTAGAAATAACAGTATCTTTGGATTGTGCTTAATGACCACTAGGGTTACATTATCCACATGAGCTGAAAAGTAGCAGATAATCTGTGGGAGGTCACAGTAGACAAGCACTTGATCCTTCCCAAACAAAAGAGGTCCTAGTTGGAGTAGGGGCATGGAAGTATTGGGGAATTGGCATGTACGTCATCATTATTATTCTATGTAGGTTACCAAAGGATTTCCGGATCTCTGCTTCTCAGTCTTCTTCACAACTACAGTGTAGTGCTGAAGAGGGTAAAGGTCATATGTTATCCTTTCTTACAGACCCAGAACTAATATTTCCGAAAAATGGAACAGCATATAGGGACTACTCTAAGAAAACAACAGAAAGGTGTTGTTACATATACATAAATGAGAGTTTTGTCAGCCAACACAGGTGCCCAGACCTGTCAGAAATCCTTTGGTACTGCATCAGAGTAAGAACAAGATTAGTAAGGAAAAGGCACAGAAGGTAATGCATTCTTATGTACTTTTTTCCATGACTGGCCATTGGGAAAAGTCCTCCCTTGACCAACTGGTGTTCTAATGGGATGTTAAAGTTCCATTCCTATCAAAGGCAATTTTATATAACAATGTTCCTCTTAAAAGAGTAGTGTATTTTACGATTTTTTTTTCCAATTTAATCCACATATCTAAATCATCAAAGGAGGGGCGCCCGGCTGGCTCAGTCAGTAGAGCATGTGACTCTTGATCTTGGGGTTGTAAGTTCTGAGACCCATGTTGGGTGTAGAGATTACTTTTAAAAAAAAATCTTAAAAAGAAAATCATTGAACTCACAAACTTGTTTTTACCATATAATGGTTAGCACTGCGCTATGGAGCCTGCTTTCCTCCTTGGGTTTAACTCCTCAATGCACCACCAACAGTGTGACCTTAGGTGAATCATTAAAAACCCCTGTGCTTTAGTTTCTTTATCTATAAAATGGTGTTAATATTATTACCTGCATTACAGAATTGTGAGGATTAAATGACTGATATATGCAAGAGCTCGAAACAGTTCAATTTGTTAAATGTTTCATGACTGATGGTTATAATCTTTGGGGCTACTTATTTTTGGTAAGAATTTTTTTAACGTTTAACCATGAATACTAAAAAATAGTATAAAATAAAGACGTCCTGTGTTCTTAGTTTTAATGTAATAGCTACTGGCATGATCTTATAAGGTTGATAACTGCAACAATTGCTCAGTTTTGTTATTTTTACCATTATTTATAAAAAGTGCATATTGAAATGGCTATAATTTAACATACAGTAAGTGCATGCAGCATGGTTTACTTCTTTTCAAGTTATGCAATTTGGTAGATAAACTTCTAACTGCATAAAGCAAAAAAAGTTTGTTATCAAAACACATGAAAGTAACGAATAATTTAGAGGTAATTTGTGCTGTACAGCCATAACACAAACAGTAGTTAGTATAAGTTACTTTGCGTACTTACTGGTTTCTGCTTAGAATGTATTTGTGTGCTGTTTCTCTACTAACTGAAATATGAAAATAATTCTGTTGCCCTAAATTCTACCTACATTTTTGCTGCTTAGAATTGCTAAATGATGAGTTTAAATATTATCAAATACCACATTATTCAATGTTGGGTCATTAAAGGTTAAATATTTTATAAGTGAACAATCATAACCCCATAGGACTTTTTGAATAATCATTTATAAAATGTTGGTACAGTTGGATATATCAATTTTATTGGGTCCTCTTTGTTATTTGGTGTCACTAATTTATCCTTTCACTGTTAGTAGTCACTTTATGACCTCAGGGAAGTCAATAACTAAGGTGTAATAATTAGTCATTTAAAATAAAGATAATCATGTAGGATTAGTCACTTTTGGTACTAAAAGATAAACACTATAAATTCTAAGTGTTAAAAGATTCTAGAAGCTAGGGGAAATTTCTTCCATATATGCGTCTTGTATGAGTTCATGTACTTTGAGGTGCTACCTAAATAAACCTTCACAACAAGCCAATTACAACTTGAAAATCTTGTCTCCATAAATCATATTGGATTATAATTCACTTTATATCATTTCTTTCTTAACAATCTTTTAAAGAGATATGAAAGACGGTCAATTTGACTTATAATCATGATGGAAATATGATCGTAAAAATTCTCTACAGAGTATAGCCCAGAAACCACGGAACTTCCTTGTTTCTTTTACTACCTCTATGGCTTTTTTTCTTCAGAAAACTGATTTTTTTTCCCATCCTTCTCTGCTACAAAGGAAATTACGATCAAGTCTTTACTTGTATATATGTCCTAACTCTGACCACTTCCTAATACCTCTGCTGCTAAAACCCTAGTCCAGGCAATTCCCCTCTCTTTCTTAGATCTTTGTACTAGGCTTTCAACTAAACCTTCCTTCCTCTGCTTTTGCCTTTTTTTTTTTTAAGTCAATTCAATGAAACAAGCCAGATATACTTAAAGCATAAATTTGATCATAAATCTCCTCTGCTTAAACCTTTCTCATGGCTTCTCGCTAAAACTGGAACAAAATCCAAATGTTTTATCATGGGATATGCATTTCTGCTAGATCTCATTGTCTATCCTCTCACCTTTCCCTCCCTCCAGCAACAACCCCCAACTCTACTATCCTCAAGCCTCCAACTACCCTCGCATTCTCTGTCTCTAGAACATGCCTCATGACCCTTGCCCTTCTGTTCACTCTTGGAATTCTTCTCTTAGGTCTCTGATGGCCTTCTCAAAATTTATGCCTCTATTCAAAGGTCATCTTCTTAGAGGAAGGCTTTCCTGAACACTGTGAGTAAAACAGACTTCTCTTTCTTTGGTCCCTTCATCTTGTTTAATTTTCTGTTTAGTATTTACCACTACCTGCCATTATAATAATTACACATTTATATCTGTGTTGTCTTCTCCTTTGTGTACTGTCGTGCCTTTGGTATCTTCAGAAATGTCTAACATATGGTAGGCATGTAATAAACATTTGTTGAATGAAAGTATGACTGTTTTCAGTAATGGCCTATTTTTACTTCTGTGACTCCCAATATTACCCCACCATTCCTACCTATGCTTCCATGGTCTTTAATCCCAAGGCTCCAGGAAAAATTGTCATATTTTTTCTCTCTTTATTCATCTCCACTTTGATTATTATCTTAACTCTAGCAGTTGTGACTGTAGTTATATTGTGGCTGACTTCTATAGATAAAATAGCCTCAGTTGTCTTTGGTGACAATTTGTTCTTTCCAGAGCTCACTAGGGAATAAAAGGAAATTAAGATTGATTTTCTGATTTATTTTTTTCCCTGCAGTAAAACTTCTGATTCATATGTAGTCTCAGCCTCAAGATGCATCTCTCATTAAGGATAAAATCTGAAAAGGGTATTAAAGTTAAACCATGGTTCTAAGTTTACACAGGCGATGACAGAAATATAATGTATTTTGTTTTTCTTTCAGATCTCCCACTAAGGACATGGATTCAGAAGAGAAGGAAATTGTGGTTTGGGTTTGCCAAGAAGAGAAGATTGTCTGTGGGTTGACTAAACGCACCACCGCTGCTGATGTCATCCAGGCTTTGCTTGAGGAACACGAGGCTACATTTGGAGAGAAACGATTTCTACTGGGGAAGCCCAGTGATTACTGCATCATAGAAAAGTGGAGGGGTTCAGAGCGGGCTCTTCCTCCACTAACTAGAATCCTGAAGCTTTGGAAAGCCTGGGGAGATGAGCAGCCCAATATGCAATTTGTCTTGGTTAAAGCCGATGCTTTTCTGCCAGTTCCATTGTGGAGGACAGCGGAAGCCAAATTAGTGCAAAACACGGAAAAAGTATGGGAACTCAGTCCAGCAAATTACCTGAAGACATTACCACCAGATAAGCAAAAAAGAATAGTCAGAAAAACTTTCCGGAAACTAGCTAAAATTAAGCAGGACACAGTTTCCCATGACCGAGATAGTATGGAGACCCTAGTTCATCTGATTATTTCCCAGGACCACACCATTCATCAGCAAGTCAAGAGAATGAAAGAGCTGGATCTGGAAATTGAGAAGTGTGAAGCTAAGTTCCACCTGGATAGGGTAGAAAATGATGGAGAAAATTATGTCCAGGATGCATATTTAATGCCCAGTTTCAGTGAAATTGAGCAGAAGCTGGACTTGCCTTCCGATGAAAACCAGAGTCTGGACGACCTGACTGAAAGTGATGGAATTGTACACCTGGAGGAGAGATTAGCGTATTACAGAATGCTCATTGATAAGCTCTCTGCTGAAATAGAAAAAGAGGTAAAAAGTGTTTGCACAGAGATAAATGAAGATGCAGAAGGGGCCACTGCAAGTGAGCTTGAAAGCTCTAATTTAGAAAATGTTAAGTGTGATTTGGAGAAAAGCATGAAAGCTGGTTTGAAAATTCACTCTCACTTGAGTGGCGTCCAGAAAGAGATTAAATACACTGACTCATTGCTTCAGATGAAAGCAAAAGAGTATGAATTCCTGGCCAAGGAGCTCAATTCACTGCATATTAGCAACAAAGATGGATGCCAACTAAAGGAAAACAGAGGGAAGGAATCTGAGGGCCCCAGCAGCAGTGGGGAGGTTCCTTCCTTGACTCAAAGAGTATTTAACTTGTATACAAATGACACAGACTCGGACACTGGTATCAGCTCTAACCACAGTCAGGACTCGGAAATAACTGGAGGGGACGTGGTGCTATTGTCAACATAATTTGAATGGCTTGTTTCTGACCTACTTTAACGTTCATGTTTGTTTAATAGGGAAGTTTATTTTAAATATCACATTCTGAAAAATGATGTAAATCATGTTGAGTATCCAGTAGTTAGTAAAAACGAGAGAAAGTTTATTTTTGATTTAAAAGTTCCAAAGTCACCTAATTATTACAAGTTCAGACGAGGAGATGTTTATTAGGAATGCAACACAAATAGCTTGCAGGTTTCTAACAGAAATGATTTGATGGGAATTATCATCCCTTAGAGCTTCTGTGAGAAATGATTTATACAAAGTAATTCTTAATATTGCAGTCAGTGTATTGAAACTAGACACATGAACAAGTAAAATTAAAAATGTGCTGTGATATATTTCTTCAAAGCTATATCACTGGAATTTTTAAGTCTGTAATGTACATGACAATTATACTACTATAACTGGTAATTCAGGTCTTGGTTCTTCTCGTTGATACTTAGAATGTACATCATCTCTGCGACTTTCTGAACCCCTCTGCTTGTTTAGACCCAGACAACAGAAAGCGGGAAGGGCTCCCAGTGGGACATGTGCAAATACCAGCAGTGGATTGGGTGGGGGTATAGATAAGAAAGGGCCAAGTGCTACATACAACAGCAATTTTTCTAACAATGGCTAAAGTTATTAAGACTTATGCCTGGGCTTTCTCTGACAAAGCAAATCTTCTGATCAAACAAATGGTCACTGTAGGTTTGTTTTTTGAGTGAGGTATGATGTGGGCTACAGAGAAAATCACAGGGTCACATTCCTGTTTACACCCTGTTCACAAAACAGCCTCCTATAAAGGCAACTTGGTGTCCTTTGTGTGGGTAAAATAGAGTTCTGTATACCCTAAGTATTAGCATTTTGCCTTTTAACCTACAGAGAGGAACTCACATGGACAAAAACCTTTTATTCTTTTACACTGGAATTCAGATTGTCCCTGTAGAACTTCATCTAAGGTGCAAACTAAAAAAAAAAAAAAAAAAAAAAAAAAGTACTAACTGTACTAACTCTAACTCCTACTCCTTCCCCAAGGTTGCTAGTAAATAATCAACAAATTGAGAGATTGTTTAGATCCTACCTTGAGTGATACTCATTACAGTGCTGGACGAGGCTTGGTTTTGCCTGGTGCTTAGTTAGGACATTTTCCTCCCTCTCTCCTTTCTTTGCTTCTTGCCAGGGAACATGTGATGTAATCATATTGTAAACAATTTGTTTTATTGTTTTATTATACTGTTAAATAAATACCACTGTGGTTTATTTTTTTCTTTAGCTGACACTTTTCCTGTATGTCAGCACATACGTAAGAATATTATTTTACTTAGTTTTAATATGTGGATATTGGTGAAGATTTCAGTATTTATAATTCCCTTTTATTCCCATGCTTACTATAGTGCATGTTTTAACTGAGTTTCTTAAGCTAGTTTTTCATTTCTCTAATCCCCAGGCTTTTCACCAATATTTGGGAAGATATTTAGGATGTTTTAGTATTTCACTTTGGAGAGCAACTGTGTTATCACTTCTAGCACCAAGATAATGCTAAAGGCTTTAGTCGAAATTGGCTGGTAAAGAAAGTAGAAATTTCCATTCCAGGGAAAATATAGTGAAAAAGAGTAAGTAATAATGGTAACATGGATTTAATTAAAAAAAAAAAAAGGAAAGGAATTGAATGGTCATCTGAGAAAGGGAAGTTTATTTGCCAAATACCCCATTAAATCATTCAGCAGTAAGGCAAGTTTTTGATATATTCATTGTTCACTACTGGGGATTAAATTCAGAAGATCGTCATCAGTGATAAACCAATTGCAATTTTGTTTTCCAAAAGTGAAAGCTATCTCTTTGTATTACTCCTTAGTGAGAAAATAATGAAAAGAACATTACTTATCTGTTGTATAATTTGATTAATTATCTGAATTCGAAAGAGGTTCTGGTAAGAAATAGGACAGGAAAGATAATTTCATTTTAGAATCTTTGAATTAACTTCTGCTTTTATATAGTGCACTACATACATTCTAACGACCACTCCTATATTTTTATAATAAATTATGTTAAAGACTCTTCTCAAAAAGTAGAACCGTTGATTTTTCAAATACATTTTAGAACTTCTAGTTGTTTTTTAGTTATACAAATGTATTTGTGCTTTTGACTCATTACAATATTAAATCATCAGTGACCATGCTGAATCTCTAATTTAGAGTAATATATTAATACAGATATAAAACTTAACTACAATTGCCTTCATCTCTAGATACTAAGCTATTCTTTATTAAAGTGAGAATTTGAATTATAAATATAGAACTTAATAGAGGCTTTAATTTTTTAATTCTGTATAGAATCTTTAAAGTGTTTATTAATTTTTGAATAACCTAACAGGTTAACCATGAAATTGCTGTATGCAGCTAGAAGTAGCAAACCAAAGTGAACTCTTCTTCCTTCTTGTAACAACTTAGATTTTACCTTGTTCATCCTCCCCCTTGGAATGCTTATTTTCCCTCTATCCGCCATACACAGAAACCTACCCACTTTGTCTTTTTAAGATGTTATGTTTTCTCTGAAACATTTATTCCATTCAATCAGTTGTAATATTTTATCTCGGATCCCACAACTATTTTAGGTGTATTTTTCATACAGGAGCACTTACATTACGGCTTAGTTCATATTTATTATGTACTTACCTACCTTACTTCTCCCAATGTATTTTTTTTATTGTTTTATTACTTTGTCTTCTATCTTGTTAACTATAATCCCTCCAATCAACCTCCTTACCTCTTTGCCCCACCCAGTTTTTGAATTGAAATGCTAAATTTTAGAAGACCGCAACCATTTTTTTTTACTTTATTTTTTTCATTTTTTAAATTTTTTTACCTCAACCATTTTAAAAATTATTTCTATGATGCTCATGCATTATATATATAAATATGCATTTTAGAAGACTTAAAACAATAATTCTACTTACAAATTCTTTAGAGGAGGTATGAAATCATTGTGCTTTGAAAAATTTTTAAATTGGTAAATTTTTGAATTTTATTTTTAAATCAGTTACTGATTTAAGGCAATACAAATAGTCTTTTTAAAAGGCTCTCAATTGTTAAATTATGGTATTTTCCTTTGCATTGTATGCATGTAGAAAAAAATGTGTATTCTGTAGAACTGAATTTTAAGAAGTAGACACAAAATAACTTTGGAATATTATCCTAAATGAAATATCTATTTTATTTTCTTTCTAACTCAAAAAAAAAAAATGGCCTCAGTGTATAGAAGCTATTCTAGTACATTAAAATTTTATTTTTATATTATTTAAACATCTGTACATGACAAAATATATTTCTGTGGCTGAATTTTATAGTTTTTCAAAGTAGGATTATTGTTTTATTTAGAATGTATTTTTCTAGTTGACAAAGGAATACCTTTTAATCCAGATACAGTTTTTTTTTTTTTTTTAATATTAGGCTATTTCTTTTCATAATACCTGACTGGTTTAATAAACCTGATGTAACAAATATAAAGTATCTGTAATTTCTTCAAGTGTAACTAATCCAGAATAATAAAAGAAATAGTTATACCCTTTCGTGTGACATTGCTTGTCTTTTTGGGTGTGTCCCTTGGCTATATTAAAAATAAATGTTATATTAGTCAGAATTATATAATTGCTGAATTAACTTACACAAGGTAAGATCAGGTATTATTTCATGAGAATATATAGCAAATAAGACCTAATAAAACTTTTTGTTACGTTTCGTACATATCTGTTTCAATTTGTCGTGAAAGAACATCCTCACTTTTACACTAGATGGCTGGTTTTATGAGCTGGTATCTTGCTTTCCAGAATGAAATCCAGTTTAATGTAATAATATTCAAGTGTAAATCTTCCCTGCTATTATTTAATTGGTCACTACTTTATTTCTCAAAATAGGTCTTTAATTTTGACTGTCTTTAATAACCAAATAATTTGAAAATTAAGAAAATCATTTCATCATTCTATAAATGAGCATGAAATGACTCTAATAAAAGATTGCATATAATGTCCAGCGGCATCACACAGGAATAAGTCAACACTATTTTCTTAGCCATATATACATTTATACCTATATATGCATAGATTGTGTCTAGAACAACTCACAAATAACACTTTAACAGAGGATTTCTTAAGAGGATATCTGGGAACTTAGGCCATGGGTAGAAGGAAGACTTACTTTTCATGCTGTACATTTTCTTAGTATTTGAATTATAGAATAATAATTTGAATATCATGTTTTATTGGTGACAACTTTTACATTAAAATGTAAATGTAATGTATTACATTTTATATAGTATATGATATATATACATATAATATATATATTTATCTATATTATTCATATAGAGACTCCTTATTCTGTTTGATGGCAGCAAGGAATCCTATTGTATCAATTATACTAATTTATTTCACCAGTACTTTCCCAGTGGGCATGTAGGTGCTTTCCAATCATGTATTGTTATAAACAGTGTTATCTAATCAATACATTTCTGTGAGGGTGGATTGAATCTCAAGATTAGAAATGCTATGTCAAAGGATGAGGAATGGGTTTTTAAAATTTAATAAACTTTGCTAATTATTCTTTATGGAAATTGGTCACTTAAGACCTGAGTTGAAAATACTCTCTTCCCCCTCTACCCCCCACCCCGCACTCTGTGCTATTTGTCTCTTTTATTATTTTAAGGTAAAATTTAAAAAAATTTTTTTTAATTTAAATTTAAAGATTTTTCTCATTAACAATATGAGCTGTTTTTTTCTTTTGTCATTCTTAAAAAGGCCTTCCCACTGCATGATAACTAATTTTATTTTATTTTTTAATTTATTTTAAAAAATATTTTATTTATTCATTTGACAGAGAGAGAGCTCAAGCAGGGGGAGCTGCAGGTAGAGGGAGAGGGGGAGGAAGAAGATGGCTCCCTGATGAGCAATGAGCCCTGAGCAAAGTAGGGCTGGATCCTAGGATGCTGGGATCATGACCTGAGCAAAGGCAGACACTCAACCGACTGAGCCACCCAGGCGCCCCCCATGTTAACTAATTTTTTAAAAATTTTTTAAAAGATTTTATTTATTTACTGGATAGACAGAGATCACAAGTGGTCAGAGAGGCAGGCAGAGAGAGGGAGGGAAGCAGGCTCCCCGCTCAGCAGAGAGCCCGATGTGGGGCGATCCCAGGACTCTGGGATTATGACCTGAGCTGAAGGCAGAGGATTTAACCCACTAAACCACACAGGCGTCCCCATGTTAACTAATTTTAAAAATAAATTTCTCTCGGGACACCTGGGTGGCTCAGTGGGTTAAGCCTCTGCCTTTGGCTCTGGTCATGATCTCAGGGTCTTGGGATCAAGCCCCGCATCAGGCTCTCTGCTCAGCGGGGAGGCTGCTTCCCTCTCTCTCTCTGCCTGCCTCTCTGTCTACTTGTGATCTCTCTCTCTCTCTGTGTCAGAAAAAAAAAAAAAAAAAAAAATTCTCCCATGTGTTCTTTATACAACACTTCGTTTATGTTTTACTTTTAAACATTTGAAATATCTGAAATTTATTTTGTTACCATGTAAAAATTAGATAGAATACATGTATTTTTTGATACTTAACCAGTTAACCCACATCACTTAATAAAGAACATTGTCCCACTTTTTAAATGTCACTTTTTTTTTTTTTTTTTTTAAAGCAAATTCTGGTATGTAGTTGAGATCTATTTCTGGACTTTCTATATCATTCCATTAATTTGGCTGTGTATTTTACTCCTGAAAAACACTTTCTCTAACCAAAAATAGTAAGATCAAAGGAAATTTAAATGTGAAAGAAGTCTAACATTTCTCCTTATTTATGTAGGACAGGGTCTATGAAGTATTCCTAATAATATTTGCAATGACCATGACCATAAGATAGATAAAAAGAGCAAGTCTATTAAAGATGGGTTATTGGTCAGGGCGCCTGGGTGGCTCAGTGGGTTAAGCCTCTGTCTTCGGCT